GTAAATTTTTGGGGCCGGAGCTGGTTGTATCTCGAAAATTTCATAAGTAGGCATGTTCGTAAGTAGAGGTAAATTTTTGGGGCCGGAGCTGGTTGTATCTCGAAAATTTCATAAGTAGGGGTGTTCGTAAGTGGAGGTACCACTGTATATTGTTAAAACATTTACCAGTTATTATATTTATATATATAGTTGAATTTCATATCATATGAGAATACTGGCAATTAATAATTGTTTTTGTGCAAGGAGATTGTCCAGAGTGGACTCTGGACAGCATACAAAACTAGAGAAAACATAAAAACAGCTAAAACATTAAATCAAATAGACAGCCCAGGCTAAAATAATCTAATAGACAGCAAAATCAACTTAACAAAATAGGGGCCATTGAACAAATAATAAACATCAACACCAGGTCTGGGACTAAAGCCAGGTTTTCAAAGCTTTCCAGAATCACAAAGGAGAGAGGGCACTGTTTTTATCTCTGGGGGGATGCTGTTCCAGAGGGTGGGGGCCACAGCAGAGAAGACACGCTTCCTAGGTTCCACAAGATGACAGGTTTAATGGAGGGGACCTGGCGTGCACCCACTCCGCTGGAATGTACCGGGCAGGCAAAAATAATTGGAGACAAGCAGTCCCTCAGATATAGAAGTGCCTTTAAAAAAAAAAAAATGAATAGATACTTGCTATGAGAAAGTTGTAAAACAGAAAAGGTGGGAAAACAGATCAAGCAAATTATTGATCAAGAGCAATTATTAATTGCCAGTGCACTCATAAGTGATGAAATTCAGCCATATATCTAATTATAATTGTCCATAAAAGCACTGTTATGTTTTCTAGATGTTAGATACTCACAACTGCAACAGTGTTAAGGTGGTGGATTAGGAGAGAGAAGACCCAGGTTTTAGTCCTCCCTTAGACACAGAAGCCACTTTAGGTCAGCCTCTCTTTCTTAGTCCTAATGAGCTAATGAAGTAGTCGAAAGAAAATCCCTTGTCAGTTTGTGCACTGATAGTTTTGCTGTAAGAACTAGGCAAGCATGATGCAAAAACAAATGGAACTTGTGACCATCCAGGGCAAATGCTAAGAACAACAACAACGGATAGTCATAATCACCCTGAGATGGGATTTTGTGTGTGTGTGTATATATATATGTATAATTGGTGTTTGCCTTCCTCTTCAAATGTAATCTAAGTCAAAACTATTCCAACAAATCTAAAGTGAATATAGCTGGTTGACCAAGCAATTCAATTTGAATTTAACTATTCACATGTCAAAATTTCTTACCCATTGCAGGAGTAGCCAGGGTCTGGCGCCCAACAAGCTGTGCAGGGCCAAGTCCATCCAGAAAATCACTGAATTGGCTATCTGCTGCCAACCGCACACCAGGAAAGATCAAACTAACAGAAAGCACATTTCTTTTTAATAATATGGTTCTAACACAAAGATCCACAAATTATATTATAAACCTGGGCAACAATAGTTATGTTCCATTCCATATATATTGTACATTTACAAATAAATAAATGGCATTTTATGGCACAATAAGACATTTATTATTGAATATGCTGTCTTTTCTTATTTTATTTGATATCAAAAATATTTGTGATCATATTACTTGGCTTCTGATCTGGGACCAAAAGATTCTAACTTGCTTATATGAAAAAATTATTACATTCTGAAAGCTTGTGAACATTTCTCACATTGTTTAATGTATGTTACAATGTTGTAAATGTGCTTTAAATTGATAATACAATTGATTAAAAGAGTTACCCTATAGTTTCTGAAAAGAACCAAACTGGACAGAATACATTTCCTGCCTATATTTTCAGTCAAATACTGAATTTAAATGTTGCCAATTAAAGATTTGTCATGTTTGCTGTTCCTCTACTCTGAACAGTATTTCATTTTCAAGAGTTACTGTAAGCCTCTTTCAAATTATAAGTGTGAAGAATGACACTGAGTGAAAACAAGAGTTTGCCTTTACCTAAGCATATTCCTTAGAATATTACGAAATGCCCTGCATTTGTGGATGGAGCTACTATGATGTCTTCCTTATTTTTTAAGTAATCTGCCATTTTGACTGGCTGAAAAGATAGTTGACTCAACATAAAGTATTTCTTTCTCACTGTCATTGTCACTGGCTTGCTTTAATCTCCTGTTTATCTCCTGACTCTTCAAATGTATATTGCTCAAGGCAGCTAACTTCATACATACATAACAATGTCTAAACAGAGGCAGCAAAAGTTAAGATGGCAGTCATGGTGGTGCAACAGAAGCCCTGCCCCTTTTGTGCAGGTATGTGACACTGATGCAGGTACAAAAAGTGTAGGCTTTGATTGCACTGCAGCAACCATCATCTTGACTTTTTGATCCTCCTGCAGATGCCACTGTCCTTCTATAACAGCCTTTTCCTATTTGGTGCCTTCCAAATGGGTTGAACTGGAATCCCCATCATTCCCTTCTATCATGTCTATTGGGTATGATAATGGCTTGGCATGCCAGGAACTGTTGTTGAGGAAAAAGGATAGGCTAAATTCCATGTCTCACTAAATACAGTGGTATGCATGCCCTTCTTTTCTTATGTTACACTTGTAAAGAATGTGACAGCCTTATCTATCTGGCAGCCAGTCCAAAAAGCTGGTCCTGCAATTAGCATTGTGGGATGTAGGAAAATTCAGCAGGGAGAAGGGTAGCTGGTGGAAATCTGGGTACTCTCATCATCACCATCTGATAGCAAAAGTATCAACCACTCAGGTGATGAGCTCTGCTGACTAAGATCTATGAAAACAATATAACTGACCAAAATGATGTACTTGTCTATATAAATTCTTGTTTGAGATGAAGCCCTAGTATCATATGCGTGCATGCATGCATGCATGCATGCATGCATATAGATAGATAGATAGATAGATAGATAGATAGATAGATAGATAGATAGCATATTTATGTACTGCCACAAAATGGTTATAAGGATTATTAAAAAAAATTATATTCCATATTCAATTAACATCACCAACATTTAGAGTGATGTATGTTCATGTGCAATGGTGTGATCTTAAACCCGATTTAAATCAATTACATTTGTTTTAAAGAGATTTACTTACAGTTACAATCATGACTTACTTTCCCTCAGAGCTATAACTGTTCATGCTGCCATCTGTAGACTCTCTGCTGGCCTGACGTGTCATCCAATTCCTCATCTCCACAGCCAACCCAGTTTCTGTGCTTCTCTGTACTGTACTCTTCAACTTTTTACCACCTGCTTCTAAAAAAAAAGTTAAAATGCTTAGCTGTATCAAGTATCCAAATAAATAGAAATACATTTAAGTAGCCAATATAAAGACAGAAATTCAGAGCTGTACTATTCTGAAATAACATCAAAAATGCTTACAATACACTATTTTAATGATGCTTCTTATAGTAATCATACATGTATGATTTTCAAACTTAAATGTGCACAGTCAACCAGATCTTCATTGTATGCCTGAAAATAATTTTGCCTGGGTAATTAGATTTTCCACGTAGCAATAAAATTGGAAAATATAAAGCTCTCATGGTAGTTATTGTAATAACCATTGCATTAATGGAAAGAACATTATACAGAGTAGCTTTATAGTGTAAACTGGTTTAGGCATAAATAATTATATTTGGACTAAGAATTATCTTTTTACCTAGTCAGTAGAAACTACAAAAAGATAGTGAAACAAGATATGGTATATGTACTTTGCATTTGTTGCTTAAATTCTTCATGTGCATTTCTTTATTAGATTTATATCTCACCTTTCATTCAAGAACTCAAGGAGGTATATATAGCATTCCCTCCTCCTATTTTCCTGAACAACCTCTAAATCTAGTTAAGTTAAACAATGGGCACTGGAAGAATACTATTGTCAGAACATATTCTCTCTTTCGTGCAGCCTTTGTGTACACAGAGTCCCTATATACCTCCTATTTCAGCATCAGATATTGCTTAATCTAATGTACTCAGGAATTTTCAAGCTAGAATCAGATAAGATATTGAAGCAAGTTTCTGTACAACAAAACTTGTATTATAATGTTCATGTTTGCAAAGTGAAAATGACATTTCCTTTCCTTTCTACTGATAGAAGAGCAATGTTTTAATCATCTCTTCCTCTGAATTTAGCAGTTAAAGTCTGCTAAATTTGACCATAACATGAAACGTGTATAATAGCAGCAATATTCTGCTAATTCAAATGTTTCCTATAAACAAAACACTCTGAACACTGTGTAATATTTAAATGCTGAATATTATTATGAGTTTTAAATTGAGTGAAACTAAAATCCAGTTTAACACTCAATCTCTAAATTTATTTATTTATTGGATTTATCAACTATCCCAATCCTGAAGGATTCTGGGCAGTGTACTAAACAAAACATAGTAACAAAGTTGTATATGTGCGTATGTTAATAGTTATTCAACAGTTGAAATAATATACTTTTAATTATGAAGAATGGAATGAGTGTTAAATCCTGAGTAACTTACTCAGCTAAGAAGAAGCAAAACATGCACAGAATTTCTATAATGTATATCTTAATATGTTTTGATGCATATCCAAAGTGGTGCATCTGCCATTTTTCAGATCCTGCAGCATAAAGTACCATGCTGGAGAAAGTTGTGACTGTATTTAGTTAGGAAACAGTTCATTATAGAAAGCATGCTAAATTTCAACATGTAAGATGTCAGGACGTAGTCTATTATATGCAACAATGATGACAAGGCAACATGATTTTTAATATTTTGCACACTTGTGATTCAACAGCTAAACTTTCAATGCCATGATAGTCTCACCTCTGCAGCTTTACAAGGTACGAACCACAGGAATATAGTTTATTCTTCAGTAAAATACTTGTGTTGCTTTTCCTCAGAGTATAAGGAAAAGGTGTTTAATCTCTATCCTCTAAAAATGTATTTTGGCAGGTACAAATTTTCCAGCACCTCAAAACTTTTTTTAAAGTTATAGGTTCATATTGTTGGATGTCAACCTTCTAGGTCAATTTTCAAAAAAAGAATTTGAGTAAATAAGTAAATCTCTACCAGTCCTGAGGATTCTTCCCCCTACCTAATAAATGTTTCTGTGTGGCACATTTTTAATGTGTATGCATATATTTAAGTATGTTTTGTCTATTTGCCAAAAACCACACTGCAAAAAAGACGCAGCCAGGACACACCAAATTATTAATTACATATAAATGACATATTTATATGTAATTGATATCTACTAATTAAAATTAATTGCCTGTAAAATAAGGTACTGTACTTAGAAAATGGAATCATTCTCACAGAAACCACTTGGAAATATACAAGAATGACAAGTAAGTACATACAATTATGTATAGATATGATTCCCTTCTTCTTCCAGCAGAAGCAGTGAAAGGAGGAGGAGGAGGAGGCGGAGAAGGAACAACAACAAAAATGACAAAATAACAAAAACAGACTGAATATGGAATAAGAGGAAGGCTAGCCCCATTGGGCAGGGAAGGAACTTAGAAAGGAAGAAAGGGGAAGAGATAACCAGTCAAGGAAGGGAAAAAATGATCCCTTTTTAGGTTTCACAAAAAGATTTAAATTCACCAAGTTAGCAGTCTTCCAAGTAACAATTGATCTTCAGATGAACCTTCAAAGGCATCCAAACGTTTCAGCAGCTATGGCTGCAGTTATTTGCCCCTCCTCCCACTTGCTTACTTTTTATCATGCCTTCTGTAGTTTGCAGCCAGATGCACCAATCTCCCCCCAATTTTTAGTCAACTATTTTGTAATGTTTAGAAACACTATTCCTCTAAACATTGGTTGTCAGGACACTTAAGCAGGAACGAATTGAAGTTCTGTCTGGTATTCATGGTGCAAAATAGGTTGCTGGACTTCTTCCATTCTAATCACAGATAGGATAATCATGTAGCTAGCAATTCAATGGTGCATACAACAAAATTCATAGTCACATAATAATGGGCAGGTAACATTGGCAATGAGTAAGTGGGTAATACAGATGACATTTTTTAAGAAAATTATATTATTTTGGAGAAGAGGTACATTTCAGATTGGATAAACAATGAATAAAGCATCAAGGCAATATATCAATGATATAAATGTTATGGATCTAAAAGAAGAAGATATCTGTAAGTGCAGGGGAAAGAAGATATGGTGGAAAGACAAAGGTGGGTCATTACTGTATATGGAGAGGCAGTACAACAGAGCATTATTCCTCCCAAACTGTGTCTCAGTTCAGAAGAGCCTGACTCAGTCAGGCTTTGGGGACAGGATTGAATGATTGCCGCTTAATGAAAGACAATTCACAAGGAAACAGTTATCTAGAGCTCATCCTGCATTAAAAAGTCAATCTGATTTGTACAAAATATAACTGGACAAAACTGAGACATCTATCAGTCTCTCACTGGTTTGCCCCCATGGATTATCCATGCAGTAGCATGTAACACCTCAGAGATGGGGAACTGCAATAGTTTACCATGCTTCTATCTCCCTAACAGTATGTTTTCTGGCCTTGAGTATAATATTCTAAATGTGGGAGGTTTTTTAAATTTGTTTATCTGGCAAGTTTCTGAACTGCTCTCTATGGATGAGGAACTCATAGATTCAAGTGTACAAACAAGAATGAATGAATATTCCAAAGGATTGACTCATAAAGTGCAAAGAAGACAGCTAACCTCATGAGACTCAGCCCTTAATGTAACTAACAGAAACAAATTCAATTAATTTCTAGGTGCTCAACTTAGAGCTCTAAAACATAAAATTCCAATTTGAAACTAAAGCTACATAATTAACTGAAGATCTCACCTGAGACAGACTACAATTTAGCATGAACAAAAATATTGTTGCCCTGTATTCAATATACAGAATTACACAACATTATGTATACTTAATATGCAATGCTATATTTTTTAATAAACATGCATGTTTTGTATGTGATTAGGTATGCTGAACATTGCAATATAAAAAACTAAACGGAAAAACAAAGTCTAATAAATGATAAGCAACTTTAAATAGATACTGCCACTGAGATTATAAATCCTCAGTTTAAACTCTTCGTATCTTAACTCTACTATCAAATATGCATGGTCCTTTGGACCAGGAACATTTCCATAATTGAATATTACATAGCAATAGTCATGTCCTTAGGTGACTATGGACTACTTGCATACTATCAAAATGGCTGCCACTCACATAGCCAATCCAAAAGCATTTATTTATCAAAACAAAACAACAAAACAAAACAAAACAAAAAACAAACACTCAAAGTGGCAAGGATGATCTCCATCACCACCTCCGCCCCTCAAGATACTATCACCAAACTTTTGTTTTCTTTTCAAAGCATGTGAGCACACTTTCAGACAAAAAAGTGAACTACAGTCACCGTCCAGTATTATTTTTTTTTAAACAATCCCTAGTTGGTTTACATGAGGACTAAATATATTTTTATAAAAATGATTTGCTTTATGGCATGCCACCTTTCCTTTAAAAAAAAAATTGGAATTGGACATGGCAGGAACCAAGAGAGATTTCGGTGGGCTCCATGTTACCTATCTCTAAATATTTAAGTTTGTATTCTGAACGTTCTATAGCTCATTTGAAAGTCCGTGTACCAGCCACAAAAATAGGGCAAACATCTTGAAGTACTAATCCAGATCACATGATGCACTGACATACTGCAATAGTATGTTTGGTGAATGGCCACCTGCATATATACACATAAAATACAGAGGGAGGCACCTTTTGTTGGCCAGGGGCTTCATTTAATTTAACTTTGTTTTTAGAGGTTCAGTAGCCACAGCACATAAGGAGAGAACTTGGGGTGATGGTTGTCTAGTTTTTTGGAAGTAGTTGGGGGGGGTTAATTTTTTAAAAATTACCGGTTTTCAGAAAAAGTCACCGGTTTTCAGAAATTCTGGTCAAAAGTGTCTCTGAGGACCACAAAAGGGGATTCAGAGGTTCCATATGGCCTTGAGGACTCTATTTCATGGATCTACATATGTGTATTAAGATCGGTTCTATTCAATGCCAGCCATTATATATGGGTGGGAGATAATTAGACCTGAAAAAGCAAGTATGGTGTGCAACATTTAAAAAATAATATGCCATTAAATAATTTCCTAATATTTGTTAGGAATATTTTATTATAATATATAATACTTAAAATAAATTGTCAAATATACTTGAAATAAGTGTCAAGTCTATATAATAACAAAACTGAACATATCTGACCCAGTTAAAGGCCTATTTTTACCCAGGCA